GAGTTTGTGGTAGAGGACCAGCAATGTCGACGGCTACTCTTTTCATTGGTGCACCAACTTGATATAACTTCATTAGAGCACGTCCCTTATGCTTGGGTCCCCTTTTAGCACCATTCTTCCACATCTTGCCACGTACCTATCCAGCAAAATCTCTGTCGTAGGTGACTCAATGTCTTTTTATCTCCGAAATGTCCTCCTGTTAAACTATCATGGGATATAAATGTTTGCCAGGTCGTCACATTCCCAGCTGCAGTTTCCCATTTCCGGACAATAATACGGTCTTCAAACTTCAACTGGTCCCATTGGGCCCAATAGTTCTTTGTCACAGGGCTTAAGCTAGACACCTTTTTCCAAGCTGGGTGCTGGTCTTTCTGCTGCTCTGCTTTAATATCTATACCTGGTTCCACTTCACAATCATCAACACCTTCAGTCACTTTGACTTCAGATTGTTGGCACCTGGTTACTTCAACCTCTCTTCTGCAGCAAAGTCTGCAGTCATTTTTGGAGGGTCTTCTGCTCAGTCCGTCGGCATTCCCATGAGATTTTCCTTCTTTGTATTCCTAATTATACTGGTCCATCTTTCTGATCCAATGCGCCAGTTGTCCCTCTGAGTTCTTTAATGATCTCAACCAGAGTAATGCAGCATGGTCTGTCCTGATGGTAAACCTAGTGCCATAGAGGTAAGGATGGAAATATATCAGACTCTTAACTATAGCAAGGAGTTTCCTCCATGTTACACAGTAGTTCCTCTCTGGTCTACTCAGGACCCTACTAACGTAGGCCACCAAATGTTCGTTTTCACTCACTTTCTGAGACAACACTTCTCCAATTCCAACATTACTAGCATCACAATCCAGTATGTATGGCAGCGAGGGATTTGGAAGATTTAAAAGTGGAGCGGAGACCAATTTTTCTTTTAATGTTTTGAAAGCATGCTGTCAAGAAACTGTCCATTCGAACTTCTGGCCTTTTTTTTTTGTCAAATCATGTAGTGGAATGGCTATAGTTGCAAAACCCTTCACAAACTTCCGGAAATAGGTACAGAGTCACAAGAAACTTCTTAAATCTCCCACATTGTCTGATGTTGGCCAATCACGCACTGCATTCACCTTATCAGGATAAGTTTGCACACCATGCTCACATACAATGTGACAAAAGTAAAGCACCTCTTTCTGGAACAAGTGGCATTTCTTGGGATGGAGTTTGAGGTTGGCTGCTTTCAAATGCTTGAATACTTCCTCTAACCAGGATACCCCCTCATCAAAAGTTGCTGCAAACACTATGACATCATCCAAGTACACTAGGGCTATCCTCCATTGTAGGCCTTCCAGTACCCCTTTCCATCAGCCTCTCAAATGTTGCTGGAGCATTGCTAAGTCCGAATCGCATCACACAGTATTGCCAGAGACCATGGCCATAGCTAAATGAAGTCTTAGGTTTATCTGCTTCAGCCATTTTCAGTTGATGGAAACCTGACTTTAAGTCCAGAGTTGAAAACCGCCTGGCTCCACTTAGGGCATCAAGAGTATCATCAATTCTTGGCAGTGGGT